AAATTTTTACCATAGGAAACCTGAATTGACTTTATTTAAGTTCAGTGGGTCTGTAGGAAACCTCAAACAGCTGTGATATATATATATATATATATATATATTAAATTCATTGCAGTGTAATACTTTTTATTAAAAAAAAAAAAAAAAAAAAACCCTTCCCAAAATAAAATATACTTTAGATAATTTTAAAGTATAATTAATCTGCTTTGAAACATTTTGTTTAAATAAAAAATATTGTAAAAATGCACTTTAACCCTACACTATCCAAACAGTAGCTGGTTTGGCATGGAGACTCTATAACATAATTTAAGAAAATGGCATAAACACCATTTTTATATAATTTTTAAGTATTCAGAAATTTTTAAAATTTAGGAAAATATTCTCTGTAAGTGTAATCTAATGCTTTATTAAATTTTAGTAATGTTGACTTTAAATTACTATAGCCATCCCTCTTATTTTCTGATAATGTTGCATATGATCGTCTGTACTGGAAAAAATGGCAATGTTTATACACAAAAAAAATTTGAAATTCTTTTAAAAACATTTGTCTATGATGATTGGGCACTTTTAAGCTTTTTCCATTCATGATTTGTGAATATACTTCTTAATAACAATATTATCAAAACCCCTGAAATCAATACAGAATTTAAAGATTTAAATAAATTTTTCCAGTTACATATTTGTGTTTGAAATTTTTTTTTTTTTTTTTTTTTTTTTTTTGTAAATGTTTTTGTTTGGCCAAAAGAAATTGGTTTAAATTCTCCAAGGAGTCCTGCTTTTAACTAATATAAATTTGAATTTCTCAATTTCATAAAATCAACTAAAAGATTTATCAAGATTTTCTAAACTAAAAATATTTCAATTTCGTTGATTAGTGAATGTCATTAAAATTTCATGACAATTATTTTATTTTTGCAAGAATTTTTTTTTTTTTTTTTTTTTTTTTCTCTCAATGGGGGTGGGGTGCTAACTTTCCCATGATCTTTTTAGCCCACCTGCTGAAACCAGAAAAAAAAAACTTTGTGCTAGAAAGGATTAAAAAAATACTTATGGTTTTTCTTAACATAAAAAAATAAAACTTTTTTCTTTTACCTAGTTGGGCACTTTTTTTTTTTTTTCCATCATGGTATGCTCTTTTTTTTAGTGAATTAGTGGAGGTACCTACTCTACTGTTTCAATCTTCACTTGGAATGATTATTTCATTTCTCAGTTTCTCTGTATGATAATTAGTAAAATAGGGTAATTAAAAATGTTAATGTGGAACTGAATGAGACCCTTAAAATTTTGGGTTCTTTAGCTTTCATTAGGGTGTATTTCTCTTTTCATGGGTATTCATGAGCTTGCATGTGGACTTTGCATTATCTAATTGCTTGGAAAATGCCCAATAACGAGAAATATGAATACTTCATTATTTATCGTTTGTGTAACAAATCTGGCAAGTATTTTATAAATGATGTATATCCCCACACTGTAAGTCCAGTAATAAGAACTTACATGGGACTATCAACTTGTTTACTTGGGCTGCTTGAGAAGAATGGGAATATTAATGATATCTAAAGCTAAAGTTATTCTGAAGTTGATTGTATTAAAATTCTACAAATAACTCTACATGTGAAATAAAGAAGTGACTTGTTTTTTCTTATCAAAAAAATTTTGAAATAATTTTAGCCGTTTGTTCATAATGTGAGCTAACAGCACCCACAAACATTTGCATGTGTTGAATGAACAATTTTAATTTCAGAGGGAGAGACTCTGGATTCATCTCTTGGAATGATATTCCTAGTTATGATCAGGATTTTCTTTTTCCTGTAAGGGTGAATATTACAAGGACAAACCTAGTTTGCCCTCTGTTTTTCAAAGAAATATATACTTTTCAGAGTTTCTTAGATTTTATTTACTTTTAAGATTAACTATATAAACTATTTTAAATGTTTTAAGATCTTGCAGAAATGCATTTTTTAACCAGACAGTAGCTGTTTATTTAAGGTGGGTTTGATAGATTAATATTTATGTAATGTTCTATGGGGATTTTAGGCCTTGAAAAAGTAATGTGGGAGACTTTTATATATAGTTATTTAGTCCTTAGTAAGAATTTAAAAATTTCTCCGTAATCTAGTGCTTTATTAAATTTAAAATGTTTTTGGTTGTAAGTTTACTTCAGTTATTGCTCTTATTTTCTCAAAGTAAATAGTTACCTGTATATAAAAATGTTTTCTATATTTTTCTGTTTATGATTAGTAAATGTTAAATTTAAAACTTAATTTAAATTAGAATTTATTAAAATAAAAATTGATTATTCATTGGGAAAATATAAATTTTTTTTTTTTTTTTTTTTTTTTTAGTACAAATTAATTATATCCTCATAAAATAATAAAACAATGGAAACTTTGGAATTATGTTTAATTTCATTTTTTTTATTTTAATTTTTTTTCACTGAATTTCTCCATTTTGTGTATTCCTGTTTGGCTGTCCTTGGGTGTTTTAGAAGCTGTTATTTGGGTGAATGATGCTTTCTGAAAGGAACTGATTTAGCTAAAAATATTGTTGCAGTAAATACTTTGATGACACTCAGATTCCATATCGCCTTTTCAGAGGTTGGTAGAATTTACTTTCAGGTTTGTTTGTTAGAATGACTGTGAAAACTATATTTGGTGAATGTGGAGAAACTGTTGCAACTCCTTTTTAAAATCTTGTTTCTTTTATTGTGAATCCAGAGGAGTGCATTAATTAGTTTACTATTGTTATTAAAACTCCTGTAATTTTGTGTATATAACTTTAAGGACAACTTCTAGATAATTTAATAATTTTGTAATTGGAGTCTTCATTTTCTAATGTTCATTAAAATTAATGTCCTTTTTGAAATCCTTTCTCTTATCTTTGCAAGTATTTCATTAATAGTTTTTATTGGATTTTCTTCAGTAGCTTTATGCTATTTTAAATAACTGTCTTTGAAAACTTTTCAAGAAACTTAAAATGCTTCAAAGTTTAGCAGTAGTTTGTCCTAATCCTTAACTTCTTGCAACATTGTTTCTGACTTGTTGAATGACTGCCTACAGGGAAAGATCTGATATTGGATCTATAATCACTCCACTCTAACAGAAACATTTTGCTTAAAATGTAATCTTATTTCAAGTTAGGAAGCATGATAATATTCAACAAAGAAAAAGTTTGAAGATATTGTCTAACATTTTTACTTGTTGCAGATAAAATTTTAGATGAGTGCAGCAAATGTTAAATGTGCACTGTTTGTAATTAACTCCCTCCAGGCTTTACAGGTATGCACTTAAGTTTTATAGTTCTATTTTTGTAATAATAACCTATTTATTTTATTTTCAATTGAAATAGTTATAATTTGAAAATTTTAATTATTGCCTCCTGGTTTTCTTGAGTGATAGAATAATTTTAATTTGAAATAATTGGCATCTAAGAAATTTAAATTGTGCCCTTGAATGTGATTGGGAATCATCAGGTAATAAGTTGATCATTGGAAAAGCTTTACTATTTATATCAATAAGTAGATTAGTCTATAAAATTATTCTGATGGTTTTTCTACTTGTAAGAAAAATGAAAACTGGATAAAGTATACAAGAAATATATTGGGTGATTTTGAGAATCAGAAAATGAATTGGCATTAAGACATTGTTACTAGTGGTCTTAGTAGTTAATTTCATAACTGTTATTTGCCTCATGTGCCCTGTTATTAAAGGGCACTGGTTTAACTGTTGATACAATTTAGTGAATATCTTGTATCAAATTATTTTTATGCAATGTCAGCACTTTGAGAACACTGCAATTTTGTTCCTACTAATTTAATCTTTTTTTTTTTTAATTTTTTTTATTAGTGATCTTCGAATTATTTAAGATTTAATTTTGCTAAGATTAAAAACAAATTGATTCTAAGCATTGAATAAATACTTGGTTTGATTGGTTATCTAATGTTGATGAGCTTGCCTTTTTCTCATGACTAGTTCATGAGATAAACTCATTGACATACTGGATTGAAAAAAACAAATACCAAAGGCTGTCTCTCTCTCTTTCATCTCTTGTTACATTCTGGCAAGTATACCTGTCATTCTTTGGCAGATCTTCAAATGTTTTTAAAACTCTGCTTCTGGTTGTTATGATTCAACCAACTTCAACAGTTTATTTACATTTCGAAAGTTATATAAGGCTGGCCATAAAAGTTACTCTATTTTTGTCGTTAGGTGGTAGAGAATGGGTTTAGTTTTATTGTCAACATGTATGTTTGTTTATTGCTTTTAATATTGAAGCAAAAAAAAAATCTTTTTGACATATTTACATGGTTAAAAAATATAAAAATATGACTGAAATGTAAAAGAAAATTTGTCAATATGTAAAGTGTCAAGTGATTTGTGAAATTTCATGTTGAATGTTTCTCACTAATTTTTAAGTGATCAAATTAAAATGCTGTGTAATGTTATGCAAATTGAAAATCATTTGTAGCAGCTTGATTAATTGTTTTGATGTGTAGCTTCAGTATTTCAACTGAATGGAAAAAAAATTTTTTTTTTTTTTTTTTTTTTTAGTAAATTATGCGTGATAATGAAAGGTGGATACTTTATAACCGTGTTGAATGCAAGACATTAGGCACTACTAACTTTATTCAAAGCCAGTTTTTTTCCAATGATGCTATGTATATGATAGGAGCAAGTTCTCAGTTTCTTTGAGGGAAATGAATGTTTGATTTGAACAAGTACTGCTTCCAGTAAGACTAGTTGAAATCAACAAAAAGTATCTGTATGAAAATAGTTAAACTGGAACAGCATAATATCCCACCAGGATAACACAAGACTGCATGTTTCTTTGGTGACTAGACAAAAACTTACCACTTGACTGGGAAGTTTTCCTGTATGGTCATATTTATCATTGTATTTACAAAATTAACGTTGAATTTTTTGCTTTTTCATTTATAAGCAAGCAATTACATAAAACTTAACTGTCTTTTTTATAAAGGTTTTTTTTTTAAACTTTCTTTCTAGATGATCCAACACGATCATTGAGCGGCCTCATTCTTAAGAACAATGTGAGAGCACATTTTGAAAAATTCCCAGCAGAAGTTACAAACTTTATCAAGTCAGAATGCTTACAGAGTATTGGCGATTCTTCTCCTTTAATTCGGGCCACTATAGGTATACTAATCACGACTATTGTGGCCAAGGGGGAACTTCGTAACTGGCCAGAGTTGCTACCAAGTCTCTGTCAGTGTCTGGATTCAGAAGATTACAGTGTTTGTGAGGTAAGAGAGGAAAGTGCTTTTATCTCTTGATATTCAAAAGGCAATTTTGAAAAGATTATACCCCACTTGTGTAGAGACTGAAAATTGAGATTCCTGTTTGTGATGACAAGACCAAAGAAACTTTGTTCTATTTTGTGTGTGTGTGTGTGCATGTACCTTAAATCCTCCAAACTATATGGTTTGGATTTATTGTAAAGCTTAGTCATAGAAATTACTTCTTAGAAGAATTAACTGCCATCAGTTTCTGTAAAAATATTGGATTTTTCTTTGCCTACCGTTTCTCTTAGAATTTGCAATGTTTCTTTTGAAAATAAGTAGGATAATTCTGATCACTCAGATTCTAGTTTTCGGTTATCTTTTTCCAAGATTTCCAAATCTAATCCCTGGTGTTCTTGATATCCATGGTGTGTCTCTTTTAGTAAATAAGGTTTTTCATTTGTCAAGTCCTTATTTTAATCACTGTAAACTAAGAGAAACTGTTAAATTCTATTACCATATAAAACAGTATGTTGATATTTATATTTTGTTTTAGTTATTCATTTTGTCTTGAGACTTCCCAAACACTGTCAAAGAATGCTTGATCATAAATGAGGTGAAGTTGGTTCCTCCTGCAAAATAAACCTGTGTTTCAACTTGGTATTGCATAGTTCTACAGGTTCAAGTCTTTGTATTGCAAATATCAACAGTATGACCTTTGTATTGAAATGCTTTACCTTGCATTAAATGGCAATTGTTTTTAATTTAAACCTTTTTTTTTATTTATATATATAATATATAATATATTTTTTTTTTTTTTTTTTTTTTTTAAATAGCAGTATCTGTTTATTTTTCACTTGACCTAAATAAGTTTTTTGATGGTTATGTCATTAGCCAAATTTAGTGGCTGGTGATGAGATCTACAAACTAGATTCATGTCTTTTCACTGAGTGACCTTTAAGGAACTTTGACTTAACTAAGAAATTTGCCATTTCTATTCATTGTGAGAATGTTACTCAACTTGTGCACCTGCATTTCTTCTTGATTTAATGGAGAAGCAGTTCTATTTAACCATTTTATTTATTTTACCTTCCATTATACTTACTTTTGATATTTCTTTTCTCTCAATTTTTTTTTTTTTTTTATTTGTAGGGTGCTTTTGGGGCAATGCAAAAAATCTGTGAAGATTCAGCTGAAGCTCTGGATAGTGATGTTGTCAACAGACCATTAAATATACTCATCCCCAAATTCTTACAGTTCTTCAAGCACAACAGTGCAAAGATTCGGTAAGAATTTACAACTTTGTATGATGACATTTGTGCTAACATGAAATTTTATAACTTTAAATTTGTCTTCATTGCAATAGCTAATTGTGTACAAGTGGGGAGTGAGTGCTGAAAAAGTGCTGATCCACTTCCCAAAATATGACCAAATATCAGACATGTTTCTATTTTAAAATGAGATTAACAATATTTATTTTACCCACAGATTCAATTTTTCTTTTTTGCTTTCAGTTCTCATGCTATTGCTTGTGTCAACCAGTTCATAATAAGCCGTACACAAGCATTGATGGTGCACATTGATTCTTTTATTGAGGTAAGTAAAATTTTGTTAGATAGTTTAATAGAATTTTAAAAATTTTTACTATTTGGGAATCCATCATAGTGGCAGTAAATCATGAATTTTCTTGAATTCTCAATTTTTCAAATACTAATTTGAAGAATGCAACAATTTTGAACTTTACTGTTCCCAATATTTGTTGTTTTAGCAGTAAATTTGAAAACTTAATTATATTACTGATATCTTGAACCTAAAAATGGTATATGATCTATTAGTAACAAATGTTTTGGCAATAGGAAATATTTCTTACACATTTAAAATTCCTATTTAAATTGTGGTCAAATTAGTGTTCTTTCCTTTTGGAACTTTTTGGTTTTGTTGCATTTTTCTTTGCTTTTTGTTTTTGTTTTTGTTTGACAAAAAAGATTTTGCTTCCAATATTTTTCTCTTTCAGAATCTCTTCTATTTGGCCAGTGATGAAGATACTGAAGTGCGTAAAAACGTGTGCCGTGCTTTAGTGATGCTTGTTGAAGTGAGAATGGATAGACTTATTCCTCACATCAATGACATTATTGGTGTAAGTTGACTTTTTATTTTTTCTTGTTTAAAAAGAAAGATGCATAAATTTGTAAGCTGAATATTTATTCATTTCTTATATGTAACTTATAAATTTAAAAATTTTTTTTTTTTTATCAGTATATGATGCTACGTACTCAAGATGATGATGATGCTGTTTCCTTGGAAGCATGTGAATTCTGGTTATCCCTGGCAGAACAACCCATTTGCAAGGAAGTTTTAGCACCACACATTGTACGTTTAGTGCCAATATTGGTGAAAGGAATGAAATATTCAGAAATTGACATTATTCTTCTGAAGGTTTGTAATTTGACTTTAAATTCGTCTAAAACCGTGTATTGAATAAGTTGTCTTTCTGAATCTGAAATCCCTCTTTCTCGCATCCCTCAACATTGGTTAATTAATGACAAAAAGTGCAATGGTAAAAACTCTGACTAGTGGTGTGAATTTCAGCAATTTATGAAACTACTTTAGCCATACTGTCAAAAATATGATAGATTTAATTTTGTAATAGTGTTGGTTATATTTTCTGCATCTGCCTTCAGTAGAATTTATAATCTTTCTAAAATTGCTGTTTTTTTTTCCTTTTTAAGGGAGATGTTGAAGAAGATGCAACCGTTCCAGATAAAGAATCTGATATAAAGCCAAGATTTCACAGATCCAGGACACACAGTCAAAAGCATCAAGAGGGTGAGGAGGTAAGAAGACTTCAATGTCTGAGTTAAGAATGAATTCTTCTGAACAGGCCCTAAGATATGAGGGGCTGCTGAAAATGTTTTACCCAAATCCGGTTTCAAAAAATCTACTAAATGACCCATCAGTATTTTCTGTTTATTCGTTTATTTAATAAATAAGTATAACTAGACGTTCCTTGGTCGAACCTGGGTCAGTCTGGTCAGCAGTGACCAGATAACATGACCTTTGCCACATGCTGCCTATACCAGAAGATGTCTTTGTCCTCATGGTTGTAGAATGGTGAGTTGATTGCAGGGTCAATCTCACACTTATCAATACTGTCTGATCAATGGTTGTTGGTTGCTGACTGTCCCTGTTGTGTTTCTTGATCACATAGCTGATAGGGATCAAGTTGTTAGTAATTGTAGCACTGGTTTGAACCCTGGCAAAGCTATGCTATAATGGTGGTGGTGGGGGAGGAAGAAATGGAAATTTTTTCACAGACAAAATAAAAATGAAAAGATTCTTAGTTAATCCTCAATTTGGTTTATATAGTTCTTTGTATGAGAAAAACTAAGACTTCCCACTAAAATCTCTTTAGTGACATTTTGCCTATTGGTGCTAATTTTTGAAACGGGGCTCAGTTGGGGATGATAGTGTTTGATAATTTGGGGGTGCCTCAGTTTTCTGTATCGATTTGAACAAGTTCTTTGTGGTTTGGTTTGCAATATTAATTCTCTCTCCAAATTTGGGAGATCCCTTCTCCCCACAGGTAGTCATTGCAGGTATTGATCCACCTGTATAACTCGTTCTTTCTCTTATGCTTCGCACCACTGCTTTCAAATGGGCATAGGTAATTCCTCCGTTTCTCTTGGTATCTTATCTCAGCTATCTTTTTGACAAATCTGATTTTTAAACCATGTAGTCAAAAAATTGGTCTTAACTTTTAGTCATTAATTGTAATTATCTCAATTTTCAATGAATTTTTCTCAGCCCCCTGATCTGTATGCAATTGGAGATTTACTAGCTGTCTCTTTTGACCCACTAATAGTATTTCTTATCTTGTTGACTTAGTCATACTTATGAACCTTCCAGGTTTGTTTCCCATCCTGGGTATCATAAACTGCATCCAGCAGCAAGGCCTCTGATCAGGGTGGTAGCACCCATTAGGGTCCCAGCTATTGGTAAATAGTTTCCCCTCCCTTCATCTGGAGTTGGAATACTAGGAAAGTTTAAGGTTTTTTTTGTAGTAATAATAATACCATCAACACAAATTGCAGTATATAACGTGCATATTCACACAACCAGATTTAAAAAAAAAAAATAAAACTTCCCCTAAATGGGGCCATGCATTTGCTGTAAGTGGCGACCCATGATGCCTGGGGACAGTTCTGGTGACTGACTGACTCTTGACCAGGTATAAAATGACCAGGAGTTTCCACAACACATAACTTTGGTCCCTACCTGGAATAGACAGGCAGATGGAATAGCCCAATCCATTCCAATCAGCTAGTCACATAGTGGCAACTGTTAGTTGGGATGATAGATAATGGGTCTGACAGGGCCGTGAAACCTTACATCATACTATACTTGTGTAGATATTGGTGGGGGGTGCAAATGCTCGTATCCACTCTCATCACAACTATACTGTCTGTGTAGCCTTGGTGGATTAGGGCAAATGGGATTGGTCTCTAACCACTGATAGTGTCCCTTAAGATGGAACTCCAAGGTGGGTGGGGAGCACAGACAGTGACTACAAAAATTAAAATTATATGGCTATCTCTTATAAGCGAACCAAGAGACACTATGAGACTTCTGAAAATGAAATAGAAAAAAAAATCAATTTCCAACTTTCATTGTTAATCAGTTTATTCCGTATTAACCCTTTTTGTCTGTTCCAGTTTGTATTTTAAATTAACCCTTTCCATTTAGCAGTGTCACATAACTTTTCATCCCCCCCCACCATATTTAGTCAAGTTAGATTATTGGCTACCTTTGTTTGTATACATCCTCTAATTTTTTTTTTTTTTTTTCTTTCTCCACTAATATTCTAGTAAAACTTAACTGCAATTTTCTAAATGTTGTATTTATGAAATTAACAAATTGAATTTTTTTTGTTTTGTTCTATTGAATAAATGCCATTAACATATGAAAGATGGTAATATCATGGCTTTCTTAATTTTTTCCTTTTAAGGATGGTGAATATTCTGATGAAGGATTTGATGATGACGATAGCTTATCAGATTGGAATTTGCGTAAGTTTTTTAACCTATTTTGTAACTTTTTACTGATCAATGTTTTCATCTGATCATTCCTGATTCACTAACATTTTCATGACTTTAATGTTGATTGAAGACTTTGCTCTTGGACATTTTTATGATAAAGTGAACATCACAGGGTTTTTTTTAACCTAACTGAGATTTATGGAATGATTAATGGTCAGAAACTAGCAGAAATTTGATTATTTCAAGAATTTCAATATTTTAATTTGTTTTTTGTTATGAATGCTAATGTTGAAATGTGTAATTTATCCTTCAGGTAAATGTTCTGCTGCTGCCCTGGACGTGCTTGCAAATGTATTCCGTGATGAACTGCTGCCAATCTTATTACCGATATTGAAAGAAACGCTGTTCCATGAAGACTGGGATATCAAAGAGTCAGGAATTCTGGTACTGGGTGCAATTGCTGAAGGCTGTATGAATGGAATGGTACCTCACCTTCCAGAACTTATTCCCTACTTGATCAATTGTCTTGCAGACAAGAAAGCCCTGGTCCGCTCTATTACTTGTTGGACTCTAAGCCGTTATGCCCATTGGGTAGTTGGACAGCCGCATGAACTCTACCTGAAGCCTCTTATGACAGAGGTGAGATTTTATTTGCCACCCTCTCCCTTTTTTTGAGAACCTAAATACTCCACTACAGAACATTTGACTCCATTTAATTATTTGATTGTAGATTTTGATCGTTGTTTGGAAATCTAACAATTCCTCAGTTTTATTTCTATTGATGTCATTAACATTTGAGTTGTTTAAATAGACTAGCTCAACAATTGCATTAAAAAATAAACCTGTATCACTTACAAATTTATAAGCATAACTTTTATGTACAAACATAAAATTAATTTACTTGGTTTTAACTTTGTACAGAAAATTAATTACTTCAAAAATGCCTTTGAGTGGATTTGGATTAATTTTTTAATTTTAGGTGGTTGTGTATTTTTTTTTTTTTTTTTTTTTTACAAGATCAAAATGCAATACTTCATTAACTACAAAACTAGAAACGGTGATTTGAATTTAAGCAATTAATAAATTACTTTACCTCTACTACTCATATCTATTGCGTTGGTTATATTTTCTGTAGGAGTAATCTATAATTTTTATCAATCAATGCTCTAATTGCACATAAGAAAATTGGTCAAAGTGAAAATAGAGAAAGCTAATAAAAAGTAAAAATCAATGTATTAATAGCCTGATCTTCAGCTTAATGAGATATTCCATTGTTATAGTAATTGTTTGCTTATTGGCATCAAGTAATGTCTCCTGATATAAGATTCTATCTGATTAGCAAATAGAATCAGGTTTTGTGAGTCACTTCTCTTTTGGTTGTTTTTATATATATATATATATATATATAGATAATGCCTTTTTTTTTTTTTTTTTTTTTTTTGTAGTTGTTAAAATGTGTTCTTGATACAAATAAGCGTGTCCAGGAGGCTGCATGTTCAGCATTTGCTACTCTAGAAGAAGAAGCTTGCACTGAACTTGTTCCATATTTGGGTTATATTTTGGAAACCTTGGTTTATGCTTTCAATAAATATCAGGTATGTACAAATGTTTTAATTTTCCATCTTAAGGTTTTGTACCTGGCTAACCAAATTATTTTGTCTAATCAATATTAATTTTAAAACCATTGGATTTTTGTAAAGAGTGAGATTTTTCACGTTGTGAATAGAAACAATTCAGTACAATTAATTTTGTAGGTGATTCCATCAATTTCAACAAGTACAAACTATCATGAATTTTAATAATTATGTTTGGAAATGACTTTTTTTTTTTTTTTTTTAGCACAAGAATTTGCTGATCCTTTATGATGCAATTGGGACTTTGGCTGATTCTGTTGGGCATCATTTGAACAAACCTGTGAGTCTTCTACACGTTTACATTGTCTACTCTTAAGCCCTTGGTCACTAGGGAATTGCCATTGTGTTTTCCAGTACTTTCTCTTAAGAGGTGGAGGCCTTTTTCCCACTTTGAAGCAAAGATAAATTGAGAAGTTAATCTACTGGGATGTAGACCATTATTCCTATCATTCAGCCACTTTCTCTCCATTATAGTTTTGGTGCTGATGTAGAAACTTTTCCCTTAAAGTATTAGTGACCATTTTATAAATGTACCACAAATAGCATTAACTGAATGAAATTCTTAAAAATGTTAGCTTTTTGAAAGAAAGAAAAAAACCTCTTTTGCATTTTTCTTTTCTTAGACTTTGCATTCCAAAAAATCAATCATTAATGTTTGTTTGTTTTTTTGTTTTTTTTAAGGAATATGTTAATCTGCTGATGCCTCCATTAATTCAGAAATGGAATGTGCTGAAAGATGAAGATAAAGATCTATTCCCTCTGTTAGAAGTAAGTATTTTAGCTTGAGTGTTTAGTCAATCTTCAATTTCTCACACAGCATAACCTTTTAGAATATGTCAGCAGCATTTATTGTAAGTCCATACCTTGCAACAGTGACCAAGAATTCCCAAGATGCTTATGGCTACAATATGTTGAAATACTAGTTCCTCTCTGATCACTGAATTTAAGCAAAGTTTATTCTGGTCAGTACCTAAATGGGTGACTTAGGTTTGTCCATTTCTTTGCTCAAAAAATGCATAGCATGAAGAAAAAAGGCCCCAAACTTAATAAAAACAATTTTATTGTGAAAAAGTTTATTAAGAGGAAAGACCAATGTATTTTGTTTTTTAAATTTTTTATTCCTTTGCAGCATGTTTTAAATTTGTTGAAAATTTTTTTTTTTTTTTTTTTTTAGGTCAGTGATTAGGTAATATTCAGGATTAGTTGTTTTTCACTGTTTTCAATGGAAAAAACACATTGATTTGGAAAATCTTGCAAAAATCAAGTACTTGTTGGATTTTAATGAAACCATCAGAACTTATTCAGATAAATGAAATTATTTTAGAAATGTTTTTCAAAAGTCATGGTATAAATAATTTTTTATATCTGTTCCCCCCCCCACCTCTAGTAAAAAAAAATGTGCAAAATTATCCAAACTTTTACCTCAATTGTAAAAATACAAAACCCAATAAAACTAAGACAATATTTAATTAAAAAAAGCTTTTAATGGCTTTTCTGAATAACATATACTAAGGTAATTTTTATCTGAAAAAACTTTGAAAAATGAATTTTTACAATTTTTTTTTTTTTTTTTTTTTACCCAATTTTAAATACATATGATAAAAGGTTGTTATATATTTTAAAATTAAGTTTCTTTATGAAACTTAATGGAAATAATATATTATCTTCTACTTTTTTAAAGATCATAAATTTGAAACCTTATTAAAATCTGACAACCATGCATAGAATTTTTTAATATACCAAAATTGTATTTAAAATCTTCTCAACGAAAGTATGGATGCACAGCTTTGAAATGTCACGTGAGGTAGTTTCCCTTGATAGAAGCAAGTTGTTTTTACTTCAGAAATTGCTTTGTATTTGTTCAGTTAACAACACAACAATGCTGGTCAAGTTTTCTGACTGAATATTACATTTTCAAAATTTTTCTTTTCAATTTTCAAATATAAACAATTTTTCCTTTTTCAATGTGAGACAAACTAAATATTTCCTTTATTATTTTATATTCAATTTTAGGCATGGAAACCGCACAATGGGTTTGATTCTCAGAAAAATATTTTATAACTGATACAGCTGTTTAAAACACTGGTTTTATTTTTGTCATATGAAAGACATGCAGTGCAAAAAAAGGGAAAAAAAAATTTTGCTAAGTGTTGTTGTCATCACCCAAGGTCTTAAAAAAACACAACACATCAAGCCATTTTTCAAACGTTAGTTTTTAAAAAAAAAAAAAAAAACTATTGTTGAAATCTACCACCAATTTTTTTTTTTTTTTTTTCCCACTATTTGTTATCTGGGAGTGGTGGGTTTTTACAAGCTGGTGACAAGCGTTTATGGCTAGCTGGCTGGCCTTTGACCCAAATATTTTGCTTAATTTTTCCTTATCACTGCTATTTTATTTTTATTTTTTTTTTTTTTTTTTTTTTTTTTTTTTTTTTGAGGAAAAAATGACTCCTAGTTTCCAGTGGTTAGGAATTGCAGATAAAACTTTCGCCTTTTGCTAAAGATTTCTGTGGCCAGGTGTCAATTTTTTTTAAACCCCGGCCACATAATTGAAATTACCAATGGACTTTGTTGCATTTTGACCCCCTAGGAAAGTTGTTTCCTTCAAACTCAATTTTAATGCCTGATATATAGTTTGATTATGATTTAGGCTTTCTGATTTTACAAAAATAAAAATGGTTAATTTCCCTCTCCCTCAAACGTAAAAAAGAATAATTTGGAAGTGTATTTTATGCACTAACCAGGTTCACTTAAAACTAGAATGAAATATATCACTTCTGCCCTACCGTCCAATAAATTCCCCTGACGTAAGTTGTCGATATATTGACGTACATCAGTTAACACCTCAAACATGTGCAAAAGCAAGCACCACGGTTGGAAATGTCTCTTGAAAAATACTTTAAATTTTCTAATTTTTCTAAGATAACAAGACAGGTGTAACTGAATTTTACAGGATTTTTAAACTAACTTTGATTTTGTTTACAAAGCCAGCAAATGTACAAATTTTTTTTTTTTTTTTTTTTTTTTATCGAGAAAAAACAAGATTTTTAAATAAAATTTTTAAAATTATAGGAAGGATTAAAAAATCTGAGAAAATATTCAGAAAATACTTTGGTCTTTCATCTTAATAGTAACATAAACATTTAGACGTTAAAAATTTTTTTTTTTATCAAGTTAGCTTTTTTTTTTTTTTTCTTCATGCTATGCTTATTTTTTTGCGAAGTGTGGGACAAACCGAACTAACATTATCATAAAAAAAAAATCTTACAATCTTAAACATTTTTTTTGGCTTTAGATAACTTGCAAGTGTCAAAGCTGTAGAAAACAAATCAGTCAACATGTTTACTATAAAAAATTAAAACATAATAATGGTATTTTTGTTTTGAAAATGATCTTTTGCTAATAATTCTGGCAGTAAATTTCTGCACAGTATTTGTACTAATTGATGTGTCAAAAGGCTGTACTTATTCACCATAACTTAGTTCTCCTCTCTCATATGCATGCACACACAGTATTAAAATGATTGGACAATTGCAGTCCTTTTTTTTTTTTTTTTTTTTTTTTTTAGTGTTTTGTGTTTTTTTTTCTTTTATTTATTTATTTCTTTGTTGTTGTTTGGTTATGTCCCCTATCAGAAATTTTACTTTTTCTTTTTCAGTGTTTGTCTAGTGTGGCAACAGCTTTGCAGTCTGGATTCCTTCCTTATTGTGAACCAGTGTACAAGCGTTGTGTCTCTCTTGTGGAACAAACTTTGAATCAGAATTTTGTAAGTATTTTTAATTTCATTTAATAAAATTAGCAAAGTTTTCTCAGAAACAAGATTTTGATGAAATTTGCATGAATTGAGTTGAGATCCCTCATGAATTATTCCCCCCCTTTTTTTTTTTTTTTTTTTTTCTTCCTGGAAACTTGGACCTTTTCATTTTCTGAACTTTGCTGCATGACAGATTTGCTTTTTTCTTTTTTCTTTTCTCTCCATGTTTTTCCTTAAAGCCCTTACTATGAATAAAAAGTACATTTATTCAAAATGGAATTAACTTTTGTTTTCAAGTGCTTTTTTTTTTTTTTTTTTTTAAATAAAGGCCAATCTTACTCACCCTGACCAGTATGATCCACCTGACAAAGATTTCATGATAGTTGCTTTGGATCTTCTCAGTGGCTTGGCTGAGGGTTTGGAACACCACATAGAAGGCTTAGTGGCAAACAGCAATATCCTCAAACTACTCTTTCAATGCATGCAGGTAAGTCAAGTAAGTCGTTTATGGTTGGATTTCACTTTCTTTATGTTGGATTTTTTTTTCTTTTCATTCTTCAAGGAAGATTAATGTTTTTAAGTGTTTTCATAACATTCTACTTATACATATTATTATATTTCTCCAATTTAAATAAAAACTGTTGCTTTTAAGGATCCAATGCCTGAAGTACGTCAGAGTTCATTTGCTTTATTGGGTGATTTGACCAAGGCCTGTTTTCAGCATGTGAAGCCATGCATAGGTAATTAATTGTTGCTTTGCATTTTTCAGTTATTTTCAGAATATTATAAACACTTTCATAACATTGAAATATTTGAATGCAGTGGTTGCTTGGAAAATTCTTAAGAATTGCTTAAATATTAGTTCAATATAGATAAGATAGCAATTTCTTTGCTAGGTGTAATAAGTTGAAATTTTTTTTTTTTTTTTTTTTAATTCACCCTTCTTACAATATCATGCCTTTGTTTCCCTGCCAGGTGAATTCATGCCAATTCTTGGAGCGAATTTGAATCCAGAGTACATATCTGTGTGTAATAATGCCACTTGGGCTATTGGGGAAATCTCCATCAAAATGGGTAAGTGTTGGGATTTGGTAGCAATTAAGGGGTCACTAGAGTCAGTAAAATTATACTGACTTCAACAATAGTTGAATTTACACTTTATGTAAAAAATCTCACATTTATAGAACTTTGTTTTTTGTTATTTTTTCTACTGTTTACTATTTCCTTTGAAAATCAATCTCAACTTTTTTTTAGTCATTTTATTTCTTTGTCATTATTTTGTATTTGCAAAACTATATGTAAAAAAAAAAAAAATTACATGATGGAATTGTTTTTGCATTCTGTACAAACAAGGTTATATTTCAACTTGTTATAAAGTAGTTTTATTTTTTATTTGCTGTGTGTGTGTGTGTATATATATATATATATATATATATATATATGTATATATTTTTTTTTTTTTTTTTTTTTTTTTTTTTTTTTGGCAATATCCTTTCAAAGATTTTGTCTTTAATTCCATTAGAAAATATTGAAGAATGACTGGATATAAATGCCACAATGTCTTTATTCTTTGATATAAACCAGTTATGATATAGGCCTACTCAAGTTGCGAGCATATGCCTAGGCTCTGAGATTTGTAGATCATAATCACTTAACTACATTGGAGTTGGAGGTTTTGTCCTGACTTGCTTTGTGTGTGTGTGTTCTAAAACGCAAGGAAGGAAGATTTTTTTTTTTTTTTACTAGAGCACAATGATTTCATGTCTTTATGCAGGATTTTATGATGTGCATGATTGGTGAAATGTAGCAAAAAGCATTTACTATCCAGGTAAATGGCTATTTG